TCTGTAACATAATATTAACCTATCTTGAATGTATACAGACATAGTTTTGAATTGTATTTGTAGTATAATTATTTGGTAACTAATCTCCCTTTATTTTTGAAAAATATACTAAATGTAATAATCTGAAAAATAATACAAACATACGTTTAATTTATCCCGACTTAGTTTCATATTGTATTCGCAGTATAATTATTTGGTAACAAATATATTTTTTTGTTATTGGTAATTAATATATTTTTTATTATTGGTAACTAATCTATTTCTATTTTTGGAAAATATATCAAATAGAATCATCAGAAAAATATTATCAACTTATGTTTAATGTATCAAGACTTAGTTTTGAATTGTACTCATATAATTATTTGGTAAATAATCTCACCATTTTGGCAAGTAGTCTCCTTTTATTTATGGAAAATATACCAATCATCTAAGAAATAATATTAGCATACTTGTAATGTAGGTGGACTTGGTTTCGAATTGTCTTCGTAATATAGTTATTTGGTAACAATATTTTTTTTTAAACTAATATCTTTTAATTTTGGAAAATATATCAAATAGATCATCTAAAAAATAATATTAATTTACGTTTAATATATCCAGACTTAGTTTCAAACTGTATTCTTAATACAATTATTAATTTGATGATTAATGTTTCTTTATGTCATATATTTGTCAATAATTACCAAAGACGTGTTTATTTTTTTTGAAATTAACTATTGGTTAATTACTTAATTTAATTTAGCAATTTTACGTATTAGTAATAAACTTTTGACTGATGAAGGAGAATTTTGGTGACAACACGTGGCACAATTGGCTAAACTTGCTCCCTGAGTGACACATGTCGATTAAGAACTCTGTTTTAATATATACTAGTGTTTACCCTGCACGTTGTGCGGGATATTTAAGATATATATAAGTTTAATGATTTAACGATTATATGACATTTTCATTAGAATAATATATGTAAATCAAATAATATTAATGATATAAATTGAAATTGAGTAATTTTTAAGATCAATAGTTTTTCCTTTTTTAAGAATATTTGGAAAAACTGTGCATTTTTTCCGTATTGTTGATTTATGACTTTATATATAGTTTAAAGAAGTATTTTCTCAATTTTTCATAATGATCTCTCTAAATATTTCTACATGCGTCATATCTTTTAAACTCTTTCTCTAGAGGAAAGTTTTCTCATTGTTTAGTTTTATAACTTATCTTTATTTTTTCATTTCTCTATATAGCTTTTGCAACTTTACTTTAAAAATTTTCGTATATTTTTCCTTTATAGTGTTTATTTTATTTTTTTGTTGCACAGTCTTCACCTTTTACATGTATTTTATATAGCTTTGGAAGTCATATGTTTTATGTTTATGTTAAATTTTTTTTAGTTGAACTTTTCTGTATGATCCCGTTCCAATTCATCTTTTAACATACTATTTCCAAGTGGCCCACCCATTGGATTTCTATTAAGTATATCTAATAATTGAAATAAATCATATTTATATTTTATTTAGCAATAAAATCATACATTTTATATTCGTGTTAAAAATTATTTATTTTAATTAAAAATTTTCAAATGATCCGGTTCTAATTGATTTGTAATAAACCCTTCGTATGTGACACCGTTTATTGAAGTGCTATTGAGCATGTCTAGTAATAAGAACAAATCATACATGTATTTTATATAGCCATAAATAACCATGTATTTTATATTTGTGTTACAAATTATTTATTTTTAATTAGACCTTTCCAAATGATGACGTTCTAATTCATCTTGTAATAAAACTTTTCCCAGTGACCCCGTTTATTGAAGCATTATTGAACATATCTAGTAATTTAAACAAATCATACATGCATTTTATATAGCCATAATAACTCATACATTTTATATTTGTGTTAAAAATTATTTATTTGTAGTTTTATATTTCCAAAAAATCTCGTTCAAATTCATATTGTAATAAGGCTAAAATCTCCTACATCACAATTCTACAATAATTCCTAACCCACCATATATTATTTTTATAGTTTTTTTAGTTACTACGTTATTTCTTTAACAAATTTACTTACACTCTAACCCACCATTGGATGAACTCGCCCGAGTCACGTGTCAAAATCTTAGTGAATAATGTAGAAAACGACATATGAGATCTTTTACTATGTAATAAACCCTTTCAAAGTGAGCTAAAGATCTTTATACCATAATTTCACAACACTCCTAAGTCACCATATAATATTTTTATATTTTTCTATTTAATTACTACTTTTATTCTTTAAAAATTTTGCTAATACTCTAACTACCCTTTAGATAAACCCGTCAGGACCACGTGTCAAAATATTGGTGAATGTTGTAGTAAGTGGTGTAAGATTATGACGTAAGAAATCTTCTGCCTAATAAACCCTTCACAAGTTTTCTCGTTTATTAAAGTATTATTGAGCATATCTAGCAATTAAATGAATTAAACTTGAATTTTATGTAACCATAAAAATCCTATATTTCATATTTGTGTTAAAAAATTATTTATTTGTAGTTGAACCTTTCTAAATGATCCCGTCGCAATTCATCTTGTTATAAATCCCTTCCCAAGTGTCCCTATTTATTGAATTACTATTGAGTATATCTAGTAGTTTAAACAATTCATGCATACAATTTATATAGCCATAAAATAATGTCTTTTATATTTGTATTAAAAATTATTTATTTTTAGTTAGACATTTTTAAATGATCCCGTTCCCGTTCGTCTTGTAATAAAGCTAAAGATCTCCTACAACACTTTCTAATCCACTATAAAATATTTTTCCATTTTTCTATTTAATACTAGTTTCCTTGTTTAAAATTTTTGTAACATGCTAGCTAATCCCCTTTGGATGAACCCGTTTGAACCACATGTCAAAATGTTCGTAAATGATATAGGAAATAGTGTAGGATTATGGTATAAGAGATCTTTTCCATTGTAATAAATTCTCCTAAGTGACCACGTTTATTGAAGTATTATTGAGTATAATTTAGAACAAATTTTACATGTACTTTATATAGTTTTTAGAAGTCATACATTTTATGTTTATGGTAATTTTTTTTAGTTGGACCTTTCCTTATGATTCCGTTCCACTTCATCTTTTAACATACTATTTCTAAGTAGCCCCGCCTATTGAATTACTATTAAGTATATCTAATAATTAAAATAAATCATATTTATATTTTATTTAGCAATAAAATCATAAATTTTATATTTGTGTTAAAAATTATTTATTTTAATTAAAATTTTTCGAATGATCCCATTCTAATTGATTTGTAATAAACCCTTCATATGTGACACTGCTTATTGAAGTGCTATTGAGCATGTCTAGTAATAAGAACAAATAATACATACATTTTATATAGCCATAAATAATCATGTACTCTCTCTGTCCCACAAAATACGTCCACACTTGTACTGTTTTTAATACAAATTTGAAAACTCAATGTGGACTATTTTTTTGGAACAGAGGTAGTATTTTATATTTGTGTTACAAATTATTTATTTTTAATTAGATCTTTCCAAATGATCCTGCATATCAGAAAAATATTATCAACTTATGTTTAATGTATCAATACTTAGTTTTGAATTGTACTCGTATGATTATTTGGTAAATAATCTCATCATTTTGGCAAGTTATTTATAGAAAATATACCAATCATCTAAGAAATAATATTAGCATGCTTGTAATGTAGGTAGACTTGGTTTTGAATTGTATTCGTAATATAGTTATTTGGCAACAATCTTTTTATTTTAACGAATATCTTTTAATTTTAGAAAATATATCAAATAGAATCATCTGAAAAAAATATTAATTTACATTTAATGTATCCAGACTTAGTTTCAAACTGTATTCTTAATACAATTATTAGTTTGATGATTAATGTTTCCTTACATCATATATTTGTCAATAATTACCAAAGACGTGTTTATTTTTTTTTAGATTAACTATTGGTTAATTACTCAATTCAATGTAATAATTTTACGTATTAGTAATAAACTTTTGACTGTTTAATAAAAGAGAATTTTGGTGACGATACGCGACACAATAGGCTAAACTTGCTCCCTGGGTAACACTTGTCGATTAAGAACTCTATTTTAATATATACTAGTATTTATCCCGCACGTTGTGGTGTTTTAAAGAAGTATTTTCTCAATTTTCATAATGATCTCTCTAAATATTTCTACCCGTATCATATCTTTAAAACTCTTCCTCTAAAGGAAAATTTTCTCATTGTTTAGTTTCATAACTTACCTTTATTTTTCCATTTCTTTATATAGCTTTTGCAACTTTACTTTAAAAATTTCGTATATTTTTCCTTTATTTTATTTTATTTTTTTGTAGCACAGTATTCACCTTTTCTAAAAAAAAAAAATTTGACTACCACTCTTTAAAACTTTATTTCTTGAAAAAATTGTAATAATCATTTAATATTTTACAGGTTTTTTCGTATTTCCTCCATATAATATTTTCAATTCTTCAATATATTTTTTGCCTCTCACAAAAACCATTATTCTTTTTCTCATTTTGGAAAAGTTTCTCCGGATTAATCTCGATGTTTTGTTTTAAGGGAACTTCATCTTGAACCAAAACATATATTACTCAGTACGATACAAACATATAATTGAACCTAAGGTATTGATAAAAGTAATACCTCTACCATATTTTTAGCATTTTCAAAGTTTTCGATTGTTTCCGGATCTTCAATGTCTTTTCCGCACGTACACATGGGTTCCAGTGAGAATATTAGGGTATGTTTGTTTTGTTTTTTTCATGTGTGTTTTTAGGTATTTTTTGTATTGTAAATATAAACAAATGCATTGAAAATATAAAAAATATGCTGGGATGGGATAATTATTAATATTAAATTCTGAAAAAAAATAAAAAATAAAAAAACGGAAACAAACAACTAATAGTATACGCTTAAACGGAAACAAACAATTATTAATATTAAATTCTTGAACTTCAAACTGAAATAGTATACGCTTCCCTACCAACTAATAGAGCACTTCTGGCACTTCCTTGTTGGGTACAACTTGATGAGGTTAAATAATGTCATAAATTAAATTAAATATTTTAATTACATATTTTTAGTTTTGTGTGGGTAAACATTTTTAAAACTTAAGTATCGATACCTCTACAACTGATTCACGCAATTCCTGGCAAGTATTTATATTCATGAGAGTCACGTACGATCGAATAGCACAAAAGCACAGTCACCTTGCGTGTCGTCCTCAACGCTCACTTCTATTTTGTACCTGAAAATATAAACTCAATCATGACCGGTAAATGTTTAAAGTGATTAAAATAAACATAGGACGCATAAATAATCGTATTATACCTTAGAACAACAACACCAACTGTTAATAAAAAAACTGAAAATTATTATGGTGGTAATTATTTGTGCAGTTGATTCTTTAGTTTTTTTTTTTTATAAGTAAGCTACATAATTATAAGTAAAAAAAAAAAACTAAGCTACATAATTATATAAGTAAAAGTAATTAATACACGCATTGAGTGTTCAAAAAAATGAATATGATCAACCTATGATATGAAAGCTAAGTGAACATTTCATTCAGCTTGTTGCTGATTTAAACATATTCATAATCTAAAGTAAAATAATTAAAAAAAAAGTGCAACCCATTAAACTTTACAACATATTGCATCCCACTAAGAACATAAATCTTATTCAGAACCTATCTGCATATCATGAATACTACACAAAATACTTTTTAAAATACGGGGAGCATCGCGAGGGAAACCATAATGCCAAAACCAAAATTAGGAGCCAAAACAATTTTTGGCACAATTGGACAGTAATACTCTTAATGGAAACCCACGGATTCATGTTCGTGGAGAGGCATTGTTGTCAAAACGGCCAAAAGTTGTTTTGGCTCCTAATTTTTGTTTTAACATTATGAATTCTCTTATTCTAAATCTTTCTAGAGGATAAGTATTTTTAATTTTATTACAATCACAATTGTAGTAGAATTATTGGAAATCAACCGAATTACATTGAATTGATACAATTTCGTTAACTTTACCTTTTTTTTTACTTTCTTACTTTAGCTTTACTTTTATTTACAAGTTTTATATTGAAAAAATATTATTAAATGATTGAGAAATGTGGTTGCGACATGTGGACTTGACTATCTAATTTTACGCCATGTTGACTAGACTATATAATTTATATCATGTGTATGATTGAAAACTCTCCTTTAATATATATATATATATATATATATATATATATATATATATATATATTAACATAGTTTCAAAGAAGCTAACAAGGTAGACTGAATTATACAGCTAAGATAGGAACGGTGGCTTTACAGAAATCTGAAAAACTTGGTCTCGCTTGTTATCCTACTTGACATACACAACTAATCCACATAATGCTAAAGTTAGAGAGCCTGCCTATCACTTTCCATAAAGTATTCAGTATCCCCTAGCGACATGACCAGAATGGATTGACAACAAAAGTATTGCAAAGACATTCTAGCTCTCCTCAACGAAGATTTTGCAGCCATATGGCCATAATGCATAGACGACACATTATGGTCTAGTGGTGGAAATGATTCTGTGTAGTTCAACTTTGAAGTTCACCGAGCATTTTAGCTGACTGTGTCACACAGGAGCATGTGCCTATAAAAACCTAATCACCAATAAGTGCACGTGGTCTATGCTCCACAACAAATAAAGGCATGCCTGTTTGGGACACAGCCCTAATGAAAGCCAAGTTTGCAGTTAAAGTTGGGGCATGCCAATGGTCACCGGTGCCAAAAATCACCTTGTTTTTTAATGCCAGCTTTCTGGTAGTAGGAAGGTTCATCATGCGGCCCGACGGACAATCAGATACAACCCTGTATTAGTTTGAATTCTATTAGACCAGACAAGCATTTACAGAAATTTGGAATAGCTCCACACAGATTCAAACCAAGAGATTGAAAGCTGCCATATAAGTCACCTTAAGTGTTTCAGAAGATAACTCGCTCTTAACTTCTCTTTCGGCCCACCACACATTGAAACTATCTCCTGAAATTCTGAATAAACACTCTGACATACAATTCCTCCCTTGCCAGATAAGACACTGCCTAGTTCTTTGTGAATTGGTTTTGTGATCTCGGAATTAACCTGGGAAGAGATAAGGACAAGATTGTGTGTCAGATCTTGTCTTTGCAGTTCTAGCAAAAGAAGACGTATTGCTGACAAACTAGCAGAAGTGGAGGCTTCTTTTAAAATAATGGCCGGTGGAAAAAGAGGTGGAAATCATTAAGCTAAATGGTTTGATTCAGTAGCAGCTCATGATTAGAGGCAGCACAAGAAAGATAAGTCACGAGGATGAGAAATCTACCTGGGAAATCACAAACTCATAATTGCTCTTAAATCGACTTCTAAGCTTGCTCTCTGGAGAAGACAAAAGCCAGTTGATTCCTCCATTGCTTATACCAGAGACAATGGCAACCATTGCTGTCGTGTCAAAATTGACCAATCGGCCATGGCAGTTAGATGGGTTTTCCAGTTGGCTATTTTCAACATCTTGGAAGCAGCACTTCATTTCCGAAACGAGAGTACATAAAGATTCACCCACAGCCAAGCTGCTAACATCAATTTGCTCCTCAGAGAACAGGAATACTGGCGGTTCCATCTTCCATGCTTCTGCTGAAGTTGGAACCACATTTTTTGAAGACATGCCTATTTCTATTTTGAGAACATGCGCGGCTTGATATGATCTTGCAAATACACTGATCCACTCATCCTCAGTTTCATTGGCAAATGTAATATCCAAACTTGAATATTCCAATCCCAAGTCAGCAGCTCCAAACTCATTTTGAAGATTCTTACGGATAGTATCATCTAGTCCGTTTGAGAAGAAAAGGATGAGAGCAGATGGCCTTAGCATCTCAGAATATCGGGCTGCATCAAGAAGCTGCATCACGCGGGTTCTCAGACCCTTGTTCCTGGAAGAACCATGCCATGAAATGTATTTCGGATTTCGGTCAGAAACAATAAACCATACTGGGGTATTGTTAAGGAAGCACACAATATCAACATAGATCCTTTTCACACCAGAAGCAGCTTCAGGTTGAAACTGTTTTGAGGAAGACAAAGCAATAGTCTTGCAGACCCGGGATACTCCACTTATAAACGGCTGCTCAAGTATGTGAACAACTGATTCTAGATGACCAATGTTAAGGCTGTACAACAGTCAGAAAATTGGTTACATTCAATTCTAAATACGTAAAAAAACACATATTGTATATATCATCAACAACTAGCAATTACTAGATTTCATCCCACCAAGTGTGTCGGTCGGCTAAGCAGTTCATATGTTACCAGTTTATCAATGTACCATTATCTCAAAGGATAACCCGTTGATACCATATTATGTTATACATGGTGACTAAAGTAGAATCCTCTAGTAATATATTCAAAATATGCATTATGATCTTGAAGGGAAATTCAAAGCACAGATAATTTCATCTCCGAGCTACAACCTATAATATAAACCTAAACCCTCAGAAAAATGCACGAGATCATTCAGTTTTGATCCCTACGCTAAATATATTGAGTCAACAAAGAACGCTTCATTCAGCAAATGCATATACTATATATGATTCTTTTAAAATCTTCTTTTTCTTTTAAAGCAGACAATTTCCCATTCTGAGAAAGTGACCAAGAATCCGAAAGCCAGTTTCCGAGCCTCCTGTTGTCTATACGTTTAACTGGCCTTATTTTAAAGTTGTTGCGATCAAAGGAAAAAACAAATAAACTAATAATTCACTGTAGAAGCAGGGCGGTAGCAATAATGGGAGATTCTCCATTTTATTCATTCAAGCAGAATTTTGTTATCATCATAAGCGCTCAAGAAAGTGAAATCTGAAAGGAAGGATTGAGTAAACCCTCCCCACCCACAACACACAGAGTTCTAAGCAGCAATATCTGAGTCGAGTGACTGTTTATTCTCTCCAAGATTAAATTGTGGGCTCCTATTCTTATACAATTATAGACTCCTAAACACAAAAGTCGGAATGAGTGAGGAGGAGGAGGAAGAGATACCTTAGAGATGAAGAAGGGGACTGGGAGGGAGTGTGTGAAAGGCGATTGATGAAACAGAGCTCAGATTGGAGTAATCTGAGAAGGGTTTTTATCCAATTATTTGAAGAAGAAGAAGATGCAGATTGAACTCTCAGATTCTGAATACGGGATTTAAGTGCTTCACATCTCCACTTAGCTTCCCTCGCCTCCATAATCACATCCCCCGCTTTCTTTCTCTTTCTTTGTAGTGTTGTACGGTTAGTATTTCTTTCTTTGTTCAACCTCTTCTGTGACGCTCCCTAACCCGCTCCAGTCAGCTTAAATTTCACAAAGGAGACTTCATCGAACATCTACCCAGCTCACACCAGGTCTCGCCCCTGAAATATTAAACCAAAATTCATAAATCAGATGCGGAAGGTCAACATGGTTGGAAACTGTAAGGTACTTTTATATTGCTTCGCCAACAGGTTCACCACAATGACTTGCCAAAGGGGTGTCAAAACATTGAAAGCACATCCAAGCTTTTGAGCTAACTTTTCGTAGGATAATGTAAAGAGAGAACAGAATCCATGTTCTATCACGAGCTAAAAATTAAACAGAATTTAGAAAACACCCAGGAATTGAAACAAGAGAACTTAGTTACATTTGAAAAGTTCAAAACTTTCTACAGCAGACAAATATAATTAAAATGCACAGACTCTAAAGCAACAAAATTCCATGCATAAAACACCCCAACTGATTCCTAACTATAGCCTTTTAACCTTTATAATCGCTCTAATCACAAGCTCGCGTAACTGCAGTCCTCACCAACGAAACCTGCGCAACAATATTTCAACAAGGTTCCACACAATTTTAAAAGAAGAGTTTTCATGCAGATCTGCATTCGGGCCGGAACAAGTTGGTTAACATAAATTATCTCCTTGATGCCTATCTTACAATCTCGTATGATGCCTAACTATTTTAACTAGCTTTTGTGTTAACTGTTAAGTAGGTGCACTAATTCATTTTAGTTTAATAAGAAACCTTAAACAAGAGAACCTATGAACTAGACTCCAGATTCCCAGGTTAAACCTTAAACAAGATAACCTATGAACTAGACTCCAGATTCCCAGAACCAGCCCAAAATTCTCACTCTGTTTTTTTTTTTTTTTACCTCCTCTACCTCACCTAATGATATCAGTATGGAGGTCTATTCCTACCCCCATTTCTAGTTTTAACAGAACACCACAAACAGCAGTCCCCCCTTTAGTTATATTTTAGGGTTTCTTAATTAAAACTAGAGAAAAACTGAAATCATGAACCCCCACATGCATAACTAACTTTAATTTCAGTTGATACTGACATCCAAATAACTAATAAAGAAAGAACCAAAGCATTCCGATTCCCAACAACAACGGTCACCCACCAAAATTAATACTGATTGATGATCCTAAGGCCCTTGGGAGTTCATAATTCACCACAGAAGGTATCACCGAGCTACCGAAAAAAGGATGAACCCTAAAATAAAATGAAACAAGAATCATTCGATTTACCTATTCCATTTCTTCCCTTTTTCCTTGATCGATCGGCTGCCTAGTTACACCTTTTCTTGCTCTTCCGATTGTATCACATTTAGTCTTAGAGATGGTCTGGGAACAGTCCTTTCTTGCTCTTTGGTATTTTTTTTTTCTTTTTGTTTTTGGTTATTTTTAAAGTAGTGGGATGTTATTTTGGATTTTGATTCTACCAAAACAAAATATACCATCCAAAATTACTAGTTTTTACTAAAATATCCTCAGAAATCAAACAACATAAATTTAATACTCCCTCCGTCCCATAATTATTGTCCATTTTGCCCAAAAAATTTTGTCCCAAAATTATTGTCCAATTTGACTTTTTATGGATCAAGTTACACATTTGTCCTTAGTAAAAAACATTATCCATAAAATCTTAGTGGTTAAACTATTACTTATGTAGGGGTATATCCGGTTGTTTAAGCTAAAATAATTATGGGACGGAGGGAGTATATATTTTCGCTTTTTTTATAGCATCCAAAATAATAATTTTTACTAAAGTATTATCACAAATTAAACAACATAAATTTAATATATATATTTTAACTTTTCTTTCTCTGGTTATCCAAGTTCCACCTTGAAAAATACACAATAAGTTACGTTTTATTTCTTGAAAAATGTTCTCTCTTAGTATCAATCAATAACTGGATAAAATCAAGAACCTGTATTCTGCTAAAATTTCTAAATTCCTCCCAAAATTGATATGAGACTAGCAAACTAATCTCCTTAAAAAATTCAGACGGTTGTTTTTTTGAATCATAAAATAATTTTTTTCTTCATTTCGTGCAAAAGAACAGAAAATGTCGATATCAGATTTCATTATCCGTATGCAAGAGATTGAAATACGATTATTTATAAGTCAAATTTGCAATAGAATAATATGCTTTGGAAGAAAGTTCGAGCATGTCATCCGTAATCAGCAATGTGAGTTTGGGGCTTAAGAAACGAGTAATAGAAGTATTTTAAGGAGAATATATATAAATAGAGGAGAAAAAAAGAGTTTAAAAATAAAGTGATAATGGAAGATTGAACATATTTGCTGGATTAGCATCAAACAATTAAGGAGAAAGTAAGGAGGTGCCTGGTTCATGGAGGAGGAATGAAACCTTAGAACGCATTGGAATTATCTTGGATTCATATCAATGCTTGGTTACATAAAATTTTAAGATGGGAATGTACATGATATTCCATTTATACCCTTGTTTTCAACCTTTCCTTTCTTCCATAGATTTCTCCCTTCAATTGATTCTCTGCCTCTGCCTCCGCCTCCGCCTCCGCCTCCGCCTGTTTCTTCCCCCACACCATTCTACACTTCTTCACTCTTCTCTTATCCATTGATAGCTGCCGCATCATCTCGATTTCCCATCCGTCAAAGAAATTGATTTACTTTCTTGAACTTTTCTTTTGGGAAAAAAAAACTAGATCTATAATTATATTATATTTTTAGGATACTTTTTCAAATTAGATAAGCGTTTTTTTAATTGCCTTACGGCAATTCGAAAAGAAGAGATGACAATTTGATGAAGGAGAAGAAGAAAATAGTGTGAAAGAAAAGAAAAAAGAAAAGAAGAAGAAGACTGGCTGGAGAGGAGGAAGGGAAGAAAGAAAAGGGCAAAAAAGGTGAAAACAGAGATGGCAAATCAAACCCACCAAGTTGATAGGGAATGTGGCTATGGGTTTGAAAGCCAATTTTAGTGGGCCAATGCATTCCCAACTTTTGAACCAAACACTTAAAATTGGGTTTCAAATCTAAACTTTCAATCCATGCATTTGATATCCATGAACCAGGTACCTCCTAAGATTTAGTGGGTAGATTAATTTGGGTATTTTGGGTAATGAAAATAAAAATTGTCCTGAATGCTATTTTTTTTTGTTTTGGCAAAATCATCACCCTATTCATTTTTATGTCTCATAAATTGACAAATATGGTATATGTTAATTTGATAATGATCAATGAGATGTATTTATTAAAATTAATATTGCATTTTTTGACAAAAAAATAGCGAATATGACTATATCCGGATTTTATTGAACGAAATTAATAAATAATTTTATTAATTTTTTGGGTTAAAGTTTTTTTATTATGTTGTAGCTCGGTAGAATTGGTTTAGAATTTTTGTGATTTTTTTTAACAATATTTTTCCATATATTCTACGTTATATACATAAATTTTGAACTATACATGACATTTTTCCCTAAAATTATGTAAGTTTTTATTAAAATTAAATATATATTTTAATATCCAATAATGTACTAAAAATATAATTATTAGTATATAAAAAATGTTAATAATATGTATGTATATATGAAAAAATTAATATGCACGAACTGATATTTATATTAAATATAAAATTTTCTATTAGAAATAAAAAATGAAAATTAAATATTTAGAAAAACAATAAAAGAAAGAGAAACAAGGACATCTTACTTGTTACTTGTTTGTATGTTGAGTGAGAATTTTGTTTTGTACAAAGAGAGTAATTTTAAATGGAGCAACGTTCGAGTATAGTAATGCTAGTAAAAAATAAAAAGGAAAGAACATGGCATAAAACCTTGCCCTACACTTACATATTGGTGTTATTGCAGATTTGGTAACGTGGACTATCAGCACCTACAAGTATTAGCAATAAATAGCAATTGAGAGTTTTGCAATTTGCAAAAGCCCCTAAAGGGACCAAGACCTACTTGACCTTACAGAATGGGAAGGAATGGGGGATGGAATCCAAACTCTATCTGTGGCAGAACACACACTCTCTCTCCACATTTCATTCCATTAAAGATACATTACATTACACACTATGAATATACCGACACTGACAACAGGGACAAGGAAAGATCCAAGCACCTAACACGAATATGACTTTGAGGGTTCAAAACTTCAAATCAAGCCAGATTTTAAGGTTGGGCTTGGATCAAACCATTAGAATAGTATATAAAGGGGATGGGTTTTTGGGGTTTAGAAGATAAAGTGTTAAGAAGGGAGAGAGAATTAGTGCGCCACACATACACACACAGCGTCATCTGCTGACTACTACTAATACTGCTAACTCAGTCGGTCCAACCCAATTTAACTATGGCGGCGGCGGCCTCTCTCTGTCCAAATCCTCCTTTCTCCGCCCCTTCCTCCTCTTCCCCTGCCACCAAAACACCTCCTTTTCCCACCAGACACCCATTTTTCTTCCGCTCCAGACCTTCATCTACCTATACCCACAAGATTAATCTCCTCAAGTCGGCAAATAATAGGATTAGTAGTAATAAAGCTGTCGTCTTTCGCTGTTCCTTCAACTCCAGTAATGGCGGCGTCGGTGTCACTCGACCCGAATACGTTCCCAACCGGATTTCCGATCCCAGTTACGTCCGGGTCTTCGACACCACCCTCCGTGACGGGGAACAGTCTCCGGGAGCCACCATGACCACCAAGCAGAAGCTCGACATTGCTAGACAGCTGTCCAGGCTTGGCGTTGACATTATTGAAGCTGGTTTCCCGGCTTCTTCCGAAGCTGACCTCGAAGCCGTCCAATTAATCGCCAAAGAAATCGGGAATAGTGACGATACGGAGGTTCATGTGCCGGTGATATGTGGGCTGGCGAGGTGCAATAAGAGGGATATTGACAAGTCCTGGGAGGCGGTGCGGTTTGCCCGGAAGCCCAGGATACATACCTTTATAGCAACCAGTGAGATTCATATGAAGCACAAGCTGAAGATGAGTAAAGCTGAGGTTGTTGAAAAGGCCCGGAGTATGGTGGCTTATGCCCGCAGTTTGGGCTGTCCTGATGTTGAGTTCAGCCCTGAGGATGCCGGAAGGTTTTTTCTCTTTCTTTTTTATGTTTTACCTTTACCTTTTCAGAAGTTCATTTTTCCTCAATTTGATTGGTTTGCCCCTTTGTGATAGATAATAAGTCTATTTGATTTTGTTTAGAAATTTCCCCTCTAACAATACTCAGTTAGAGGATGAACACGTTTATTACTGAGTATTCAATTTTTGAAATTGTGTTCATTCTTCGTTCTTTGACAATGGCTTCCGTCAAAAACATGATTTAAATAATACTTCTTCTAGGTCTGAGAGAGAGTTTCTTTATGAGATACTGGGAGAGGTCATCAGAGCCGGGGCAACAACACTTAATATTCCTGACACCGTCGGCTACCTTCTGCCCCATGAATTTGGTCAACTAATTGCAGACATAAAAGCCAACACTCCTGGTATTGAGAATGTGATCATCTCAACGCACTGCCAGAATGATCTGGGGCTCTCCACCGCCAACACTCTGGCTGTAAGCATTGTATTTTTGGCATACTCACAGATGGTAATAATCGAGTTGAGCTTGTATTGATGTTATGTTTTTCAGGGGGCATTTGCTGGTGCAAGACAAGTAGAAGTTACTATCAATGGGATCGGTGAAAGAGCTGGTAATGCGTCACTGGAAGAGGTCAGTGTGTTGTTCAAGTACTTAAATGCTAGGTTTTTGAAGTCAACTTTCTAAAACCAACTCTGATATTGCTGTGACTTATGGAGTGTTTATGTCTCTGCGAGAATTTTGCACCTTTTCCCTGTCTTATTATATGTGTGTCTTAAGCTTTTCTTGAAGTTTTGACCTTACCATCTTTTATTTTTTTATTTTTTATTTTATTTTTTGTGAACATCTTTTGTTTTGCTCCCTTTCGAATGTAGGTTGTCATGGCATTAAAGTGTCGGGGAGGACAGGTTATGGGTGGCCTTTATACAGGGATCAATACACAGCACATATTTACAGCGAGCAAGATGGTATTTAGCCCTCTGATATTTTCATTTGTTTCTTCCCTTGGTTGAAATTGGTGTTCATTTATTTTGGTTTGATACTCTCTCTCCAAGGTGGAGGAATACAGTGGACTGCATGTTCAACCTCACAAGGCTATTGTTGGAGCTAATGCTTTTGCGCATGAAAGTGGCATCCATCAGGTCAGTCTTATTTGTTAAAAGTATCTTCACTTGCACATTTGATTCATTAGTTATTATTATTATTATTATTATTATTTTGTAATTTCCTAACTGTCCTTTGATGAATTTGTCCACGTGAATATCTCTATCTGACTGGGTTTTGAGTACAAGTTTTACATGACTTTGCATCCCCCAACTGCTCCCTCCCTCTCTTCTGATTTCTGATAAATATTATAGCACAATTCAGTTGCCTTTTACAGAGTCAAATGATGCTAACTTCCTACCCAGAACAAAGATTCAAACAAAGTCAAATGTTTTTATGTTTCATTTATCTCATAATTTCATCTTTGTTTTTAGGGAAAAAAATTATGTTTTTTTGGTTTTCGAAAGAGTGAGTGCATTTGATTGAATTGTGATTTTTTGGCCTTTGAAAGGAGAAGTACTTGTTCACATCATTAGGGAGAGAGGGAGGGAGGGAGGGAGTACATTTTGATTGAATTGTGATTTTCGTTCCTTTGAAAATGCCTTTAAATTTGTTGGATTGGCTTATTGAATTTTGTGGCACAATCATGCTGACTTTATTTGTTTTCTACAATAATAATGTGGAAGTTATTATGTGTTGCTTATCTATTCTCCATTCTTTTGTTTGGATTACTTTTAGGATGGAATGCTTAAACACAAAGAAACATATGAGATCATCGCTCCTGAAGATATTGGTCTTCACCGTGCCAATGAATCTGGAATTGTGCTCGGTAAACTGAGGTAAGTGAAAACTTTTGCTAACCGAAGGTGCAAGTGCAATTTTTTTTTTTCTGTGTTTGAGATAGTTTTTTGAGATAGTGGCATACAAATTTGTTTTTCTACAAAAGCTGCTGATGTGGCAAATACTCAGTTTTGATATCTATTGACCCCTAACCTGTAAAAGTAAGATACCTTGTCAAGGGAAAACATCTTTGTTATCAAGTTCCAGCATCTCTGGTTTGAAAAGATGAAGGGTTTACTCATTAGAGTTATCACTTCCTTAGCTTTGTCATCATCTGAATGTGATTTTAAATTTTCAATTGTTGCTCCGGTACTGTTGGTCCTGTGTTATTTATTTCATTGTGTATTTTGTGACAGTGGACGCCATGCTCTAAAAGCCAAACTTTTGGAGGTAAAATTCAGTTTTTACTTCATGTATTTAGTTAGAGATTGGTGTGGTTATCTAGCTCCCTTCAGTTGTAGTAACTGTTTGTTTGTTTGTTTGTTTGTTTGCTGACCACTCATAGCTTGGATACGACATTGATGGCAAAGAACTTGAGGATCTTTTTTGGCGCTTCAAATCTGTCGCGGAGAAGAAAAAGGTATGTGGGAACGTGTTGCACTTTCTATTGTCCTTTATGGCATAGGGCATTTTTTTTTGTTGAGGTGGTACCTGTCCATTTTAAATGTTCAAGATAGTTTTGTCATGATGGTTTTAATGGAAAGATAATCATTCTTCAAACGCCGATTCGTCTCAATAGCACAAATCTGCTCCCAATTAATGATTGCTCATTACCTTGTTATCATCATTGCAGAGCATCACTGATGATGATCTCATAGCTCTAGTGTCTGATGAGGTTTTTCAGCCTGAAGTTCGTTGGAAACTCGGAGACGTACAGGTATGTAGTGTATGTTGCCCTTTAATGCTCAGAATTGGGTTGGTTCTTTATGCTAGTGTTCATGCTGTTTGCGTCCAGGTTACTTGTGGTACTCTTGGTCTTTCTACTGCAACGGTCAAACTAATAGATGCAGATGGTCAAGAGCATGTGGAATGCTCTGTCGGAACAGGACCAGTTGATGCTGCTTACAAGGCAGTTGACCTTATCGTCAAGGTTTGAGTAGTTGAAATTTTTGTTTTTGATCTGAGGCAAAGTCCGATTCTAGAAAAGATTTTTGTACCATTTTATATCCTGTTACTCCCATGTTAAAAAGTACACACCAGAAGAACGGTTTTCTTTGCCAGAGATTTTTACAGTGAACTGGTTAAGTACACGAGAAAGATGGCTTTTTTTTTTCTTCGGAAATGCCTGGATAGGACAAATTCATTCTTCATGAATACATGTAGGTCCCTGTATCGCTGCTTGAGTATTCAATGAGCGCTGTCACTGAAGGCATTGATGCTATAGCCACAACTCGGGTCTTGATTCGAGGTGATAACAGTGAAGCAACATCCACTCATGCAATGACTGGGGAAGTTATTTCTCGAACTTTCAGGTGAAAGATGATCTGGTTTCTGTTTAGTCTGTTAGATTTGAATGCTCAGAGTGTGACTCAAACTCATGCTCTATGTTTTTTCATTTGGGCCGTGGTTTTGTAATGCAGTGGAACTGGTGCGGCAATGGATATTGTTGTATCTAGTGTTCGAGCCTATTTGGGTGCCTTAAACAAGAAACTAAGTTTTGGAAAGTTGGAAGATCGAAGTCCTAGTTTGCTGGAGGCAAATGCATCACGGGTCAAGAGTGTTGTCTAAGATTTTTTTAAATCTGTTGCAATGACTTGTTTCTGTGGGGGATCATCTCTGTTTGGTTGGAGCTTTTTCTTTCTGTTGTTTCTTATTTTCTTTAGATGTGTATAAATAGTTAAAATGTTTGTTATGAGCGCGGGGGAAAACTTTCGATCTGTTGTCCTCGATTTTGATGTTGGTTTTCTGAAGATAAAAAGATTTTTGGGAGCGAATGGGTGCAATTTATATGGTAGATTTGCCTCAGCTTTGTATGGATTACCTTTCAATGAGAAAATAGAGAGCAAATTATGAGAAGTGATGAAAGAAATTTTTTTTTTTCCTATCTCCTCTTGCCGAATTGAGAACTTGTGAGCTTCTAATTCACCTTCCAATTTAACGGAGTTTTATAGCTAGCAGTTGGGCGAACACACGTTTTAGTGTTTCTTTTATGTTCATTGTTGAGCGAAATTTTCAGCATCATTGGGACTTTCAGCAAAAATTTTTTTTTTTTTTTTTTTGAGAATGAAAATGGAGAATTCTGGGGTGATGATAATGGACCTTGAATTGTATGGGAGAATTCAGGAAGGATTTCCTACATGGGTGCACTGCGTCTGTGTGTATCAGATATGGATAGAAATAGAATGAAAGTAACCAAAGATGGTCGGAAGGAAAGTGCAGAACAAGAGAATGCAGACTTGTCTAGGGAGACCATAAAACAAGAAATAAGATGGAGACTGAGATTACTTTGTCTGAATTGGAAAAAGATGAGCAATACATCCTTCACTGTAATTGTGGATTGCTTACATTATATGAGTGAGATAGGAACATTGATTGGAATTACATGTACTAATAAGATTCTTCATATTGCAGTCATTATGGAATTCTGGTTCCAGCGGAACTGATCCTCCTGGTACACCCAGATCAATTCTCAGGACTCAGGAGAGGGCAAAATGTGAGGGTTTTGGGGGAAGGGTAAAATTAGGTAGTTAAAAAAAAAAAAAAGAAAAGAAAAAAGAAGCAAATATTATTGTGTAGAGAGTTTTACATGAAAGTATTTGAAAATATATGAAGAGAGTTCAAGAACAGTGACATTTAGATTTGAGAAAGTGGACTTTATACATGTGCCTTTTTATTCTTTTAAATTCATTTAGAACTTTAAAAAGAACGTGGAACGATTTGTCAATGGAATTTCATTTGCAAATTATGAATTTGGTTAAACATGTGTGTGCAGGCGTAAAATTCTAGATTATAATATACATTTACTTTCTCTAATTTGTTCTAACGCTTTATACCATGTAATTATTTCATACTCCTTACCTATTTACATATCTTGCTTATTACTTAGCAGGGAATAAGTATTCACCACATTATTTGTTCCTCTCCTCTATTTTCTGAATTCTATAACTAGTTTTGCATCATCATTACACTTTCGGTTGCTAATTGGTGTGGTTTCAAAGGTGACAAATGCACTGTTTTGAAAGATAATTCAAGAAAATTTAGGGTTTCAAGAAAATTTTATAATAATATAATATGAGTATTTTTAGCCTCCTCAATCAATGAATACATTGGGGTTACATACGGATTAATCAAATGTTTTTCGTCTTTTCAATTTTTTTTTCCTAGAATTGATTATGAATGTTTCTAGAAGTATGCAACAGTTTCGGTTTTATTTTACCTTTCATTTCCCAATTTATAATTATCACTTCACTGTATTTATATTATGGTTGAGGTCACGCACGGAACACGTGTGACTTAAGTACTATATATATAATACTAATGTTGTTTTGTAGCGCGAGGTGTGACAAAGGTTCATAATTAAACATTATATTTTCTTTATTTTTAGATTTGATATTATATGTGGTAATTTAGAAGGTATTATAAAATGATAGTGTAAGAGATCTTTATTTTATCGTTGAAGATTATACTCTTTTAACATAAACCACCATAACTATCATACAACACACATAAACTCGAGGGTTAACTGTCATTGTCCCATTCTTATTTTGTGTCCGAAGAACAAAAATAATGTGTTAATAGGCATATTTGTCATCATTCACTTTGCCAACATCTTCTCTATCACTTACCTTCTTACCTTCTTGGCCAACTTTCTCATCTTTCAAACAAATTCATTTTTATTTCCAAACAAAATTAGTTTCTTCTCCAACCAAAATGCTATATTAGAAACAAAATCAATCTCTCAATTTTTACGGACTTAATCACAGATAAAATCTCAAAAATTACTAAGAATCAATGCATAAATTAAAGTGGCATCATTAACTAAAATAGTGTTGAACTTTTTTTCTTTAACACAAACAAAGTTACGTACTAGAAAAATTAACAAAAACCATACATAATACCCAACTTAAACTCTGCAAATTCAACTTAAGGTACTAATAACCTAATTGATAATATCAATGTTAACATGATAGTTATGGTGGTTTATGTGTTGTATGAGAAGAAAAAAAGTATTGCTTTAAAGAGTTTTAAAAAATTTATTGAACGAACTATAGAACTGAAAGAAAAAGTGCTTAATGCTCGCATGGGTATATGAAAGCCAAGCCAAAATCAAGGGAAGACGCAAGAATTTCTAGCAAAGAGGCTGGAGCTCAGGACACAAATTTCTTTAAATTTCTTCTCTACTATTCCTGCAATGTCAAATATCAATTCTTGTATTGTGGATTCCATCATATTTAGCAATTAAATCTCTTTTCTAGTTGAAAGATTATTGAAGTCTTCGTGTTTTTGTAATTATAAGATCTAATTATTTTCTATACATCACAAGTTTTGAGTATTTATTTATTTTTAATTTGTAGTGATGATTATTTAGGATTATTTGAACATCTAGTAGCATGTAATTCTCCTAGATAATCTAATTTATGAACAACAAGTTTTGTTTGTTCCTAAGAAGAAACAATACAACTAATTGTTTGGTAAATAGTTTTATGTTGTGAAAATAAATGATCAATTTTTAATAAGCAAGTTTGTGTATTTAGAACTTGAATTGGGTGTTTGCTTTTCAAAAATTAAGCCGAAGGAATTTTCAAGTTTTGTTTTTGGTTATAGAGTGGTTAATGAAGATTTTTTAATCACTGGTAATTAAATAAAAAGACTGAGCTATTATGAGGTTCTAACGACGATAATCAATATATTCATAATTTATTGAGTTAATCATTGCATCAAGGATCGGTTGGATACATCAAAATGAATATTATTTCTTTGACTATAGTTTCTCTTATTATTACTACCTCCGTCTCACAAAAATAGTCCACATTGAGTTTTCTGTCATGAAATATTTGATTTGATTTGATTGAATGTCCATAATTAACATGTATTATTCTATTCACAATCAAGGAGATATGATTCTGTAATATTTAGCATTAATGATAGGTGATTCATTTTCCACAATTTGATCCCCTAATTCTTGTATAAATAGGGAGCTCATTAATGCTTCAAAATACATCTGAATACAAGTCTCTTATCTCTCTCTATTCTCTTGTCTTCTCTCTTTTGTTCTTATGCTTAGTTCATATTATTAGTTTATCATTAATTTTATAACACGTTATCAGCACGAAGACTCCAGCAAAAGAGCTCCTACCACTGCCTAAAGTTGGTACATATTGATTTTGAAGGCCAGAAAGTCTCAATGAATATTTTAATTATACTACCGCCTGAAGTTGGTGCGTATTAATTCTGAAGGTTTAAAGCTTCAATGAATATTTTAAAAGGCTTTCGTGATCTAAAGCGCATGAAGCGCCGTGACCTCAAAAATTTTTTGGTGCACAAGTTTCTAGCCACACTGAAACAGTTCATCATGGAGTTCAATTTAATGGCTCAAAATGATGATGATGATGGGAGAAAAAGGTAAATCATAAATCATGTATATTTGGTTTGCATATGAAGGAAAAATATTTCTTGTTATAAATTCTATTTACTCATATCATAGAATCACGATACAATTCTTAAATTATGTATATGATTGTTGATCGTGTGAATGTATAAAATTTATATAAGTTGCATGTAATTGCGATAGTATCCATGTGTGCAAAGAAAAAATTATTTTCTTTAAAGAATTAATTTCTTTGATATTTAGATTGCAAGGAAAATACTTTGTTTTATTATCATACGTATATTAATATTAGTAAAAATGTATTAATAGAAAGAAATCTCCTACTCATATTTTACTTTGTACTTTTATATTCTACTTTACTCATAGTATTACTGATATTTACTAATGCAAGTAAAATATATTGTCAATAGCAATATGAAAATGCATAAAAGTTGCTCCTGAAGTAGCAATGTTGTGATAGCATATTTACTATATTAAAATGCTCCAATATTAACATTATAGCGAAATATTTGATGAAATCTTATGAATTGATTTCCTTACATTCCTCGAAGTGAGTAGGCAGTAAATTATTCGAAGGCAAATTAAAGGCATTAAATCTACAATAATTATGTATATATATAATTCTTCACCTGAAGTTGGAGAATTAGTTTGAAGACATGTTCAATTTAGACACGGTTTGTTTCCTGAAGTAAATGTGACGATCATGAAATAATGCTATTGGTGATTCTAGCAAATACAGTATTAACCACCTGAAGGTAGAAAAATAATGAAAATACTACTATCAATCTGAAGTTGAAAAGTAGTATATTGCAAATGCTATCATTGTGGCATAAAATCATTGGGTTCATATGTTCTGCATACCCACAATTATCTTATTGATATCTTCAATATAGTATTAAAAGTAGATGAATTCATTAGTCTTGTCGACAATGAATTAACAAATCATAATTCAATCTTTGTCAAAATACCCTGAAGGTAATTTAAAAAATTAAGAGATGAAAATGTCAAATATGTCAAACAGCCTGAAGGTGTGGTGGTCTTTTGGCCACCATAGTAATGATACTATTTAATTGACATTTCTATCTACATGTTTCGAAGAAAATAAGATCTAAATTTGTTAATGGCAAAAGTATGCCTTGCACATAGTGCAACTCATATTTTCTTTGTGGGTATTGTGAATTTTATTAATTGCCCTGAAGGGGATGTTAGTTAATGATAAACACAAAATCAATTAAAAGTTTCAGTAGATCATATGCCATTGAATTATTTTGTAAAGACAGATGAAAACTTCCGTTGAGTGTAATTACTCCGGAGAGTGAAAACAAATAAATACACTTGAAGAGCAAATATAATAAATTCATCATTACCTTTGAAGGAGCAATAGTAAATAAACTTTGTTTCTAAAAGAGCAAGAGAATTTTAGAAGGAGAAAGTGCATTGACATACATTATATTCTCTAAGGTATCAAAGAAGGATATAAATTGCTCCACCAACACAATTATTTTGAATTTGAAAATTCATTGTTGTCTCCAGCAGAACAGCGATACTTTATTTTTAAAAGAGCAAAAACACTATGGTAGATGAAAATAATTGAATAACAAAAACTCTGTCAGAGTAAACGCTCATGTGGAGTGAAATTGTTCTGGTATAGTTGAATAATTAATTCACTGTTTTCTCCAGAAGAGAAATTGTAAAATTTGGCATAACTACTTAAGCCATTCTGGTTTCAAGACGAAACAAGAAAGTTTATATGCTTTAAATTTAGAAAACCAAGAGTTTTTTCCAACAAAATTAGAATATCAATTGATATATCGATGAGATAGCCACATGTATGATTCTCGTTAACTTGCAACCTGAAGTTTGCAGAAACTTAATTATAGAGATAATTCGGTAACTTGTCGATTCTCATGTTATGCTCTTATGAGAATTTCAATTGACAGTTGTGGTGAGTATATGACTCAATACCATAATGATAGAAGTTGAACATTGAGTGCGTATAAGAGTAATAATGAAGCGGTCTAGTAGAACCGTTAATTGCATGTGTTCAATTAAAGTAATTAACTTATATATAATTAAAGAAGTGTTGAAACACAAGAGACACTAATTATATGAATAAGACCAAACAAGTCATTGCAGATATTCTCCCAAATAATAGTTTATCGGTCAGAAACCATACATATCTATCTTTAAATATTAGATGTGCAGTTTATATATTATAATTATTCCACCACAATGCACACAATGATGGAGCCTCCAGAAGAGGTCAGAAATATATGTTGAATATTGAATCTCCAATGTTTGAGATTATCGACGTTGGATTAACTACTCGATAGACTGATCGTATTAGTTTGGCGAGTCAGTTACTCTCAATAGGGAGATTATTAACTACTCTGTAGGTTAATTGTCATTTTAGCGAGTTAGTTATCCTAACATCAGGGGGAGAAGTTAAAATAGCCTATTTATAAAATCAGATGGACAATGTAATTATCTCATTATGATCCTCGATGATATGAATATGAAGTTCAAGAGATAATGTTTAAGACCAGATGTTTATCTGACCGAATGTATAAATATATCTTATATAAAAGGCTCTTAAAACTTAAAATTTGATAATATGTCCCTGGAGGACTACCTACTACTATTTGTTAGTTGAATGTCCATTTGATGAGCGGGTAAAACCATCGATTCCAAATGATAAAAATTCTCGTAAATGTCAAAGTTTAAATCTACAGAGATGTCAAATACGAGTGATTTATAAGAATTTTGAATTGGAATAGTTTCCCATTACGATGAATTAACTTCCAGAAGAAGTATATGAATATTTGAGAAACTTAATGATTGTGAGATGTCATTACCAAAGAATATAGAATCGATTAGTAATAAAATGTCGACATGAAGTTTGCATATACTGCAGCAATTAGTGAAATGAATGAGGATCATGAAAATCTATTGTGAGTATGGATATTAAACTTATTGGCCACAACAAATGAAAAGACGCAATACGCACACCAGAAGATGTGTAAGTTAAATTAAAACTTCTTGAAAGACTAGAAGTTTCGGCAAATAATACACCGGCTAAATATTATTGGGTGATTGTGCGCAACATTAATGAGAAACCAACTTATTGCGCAAGTTTTCTGAAAGTCCGGATGTTAATCATGAGTAGATTTATTCTCTTGTGGTGGATGGAAATAAAGTTCTTCTAATATTTGCTGTATCTGACAGTAAATGAAGAAATGGAGAACGCGTCTCTTGAAAATAGTGATCACTTTATATGTGATACTTGATATTTAATAATGTCTTCTATATGAAATCCCCGAAGGATTAAAAAAAAAAAGGCCATGAGTCTCAATTATCGAGAAATTAGTTCAAAAGACTTGCGCAAGTTATAGTGTTTTCATGTGTCTAGATTAAATATTTAGGTTCATATTTTTTAATATAATAGATATGCTATGTTTGTTTTTATCTAGATATGTTATGTTTTTTTTTTTTTGTAACATCGTTGTTTGTGATTTTCTATCTTTTTTATAATCATATTTGAATGGTAGGATGATAACTATTACTAGAGTGAGTATTTATAAGTCACATGTGCATTTATAATTTTGTTAGCACCGAACTCTTGTAGAGTTTCAAAAGACTGAATATTATCGAAATTTATCTCGAAATTCGAATAGTCTGAATATAAGTAAAACTCTTGAAAAGTTATATCAGAGCTTTGAACACTTCTAAGGAAGTTCAAAAGGTTACTACTTGCCTGGAGTAAGAATAATGAAAGATCTTGAGTAGAATCTCAGTCTAAATAGTTTGACCTTTGTGTATTTAACACCCGTTGAGCGCAATTGATTAAAATCTTGATGTGCATATAAATCATTTTTCTTGACGTTCTATTAATAATGTAGACCGATTTGGTCCTGAAGTGTCATATAAAGTTTCGGTTCATCTAATCAATTAGTCAAGACTTGGATGTTGTATATTGATACCTTCAAGGTATGATGGTCATGCATCTCCATTATTATAAAACACTCAAGATTATACAGGTATATGAAGACAACCGTCTATATGAGAAGTCGAAGTAATCTATCTATTATTGACTTAAACAATCAGGAACCTGGTCAATAGCTTGGCATGCAACGAGAAGATTACAAGTGGCGTACTTAATAGGGGGAGAGTAACCCATGCTGTACTCTTTTTCCCTTGATCGAGGTTTTGTCTCAATGGGTTTTCCTGACAAGGTTTTTAACGAGGCAGCGTCACATTCGGAAGTGTATTCTTTTTCCTTCACTAGGGTTTTATCTCAAAGGATTTTTTCTAGTAAGGTTTTAACGAGGCATTATTCCGCAAAGATAGACATTTAAAGGGTGAGTGTTATGAAATATTTGATTTGATTTGATTGAATGTGCATAATTAATATGTATTATTCTTTGATACTGTAATATTTAGCATTAATGATAAGTGATTCATTTCCCATAGTTTGATCCCCTACTTCTTGTATAAATAGGGAGTTCATTCATGCTTCAAAATATATCTAAATACAAGTCTCTTATCTCTTTCTATTCTCTTGTCTTCTCTCTTTTGTTTTTATGCTTAGTTCATATTATTAGTTTATCATTAATTTTATAACATTTTCAAATTTGTACTTAAAACCGTTCAAAACTCAAAACTCGGACTATTTTTGTGAGACGGATAGAGTAATATTTAAAAAATTGCTTTTATTGTTTTTTTTTTTGGGAAACATAAAAATTTCTTTATTGTTTGCAACTTATTTTTGTTATCCTTTAGTTACAAATCCAAAAATTCGCACGGTCGAACCAATTGCCTAGTACTAATAAAACTCGCACAGTCGCACCGGCACAGCCACTGCTCACTAAGGTTTGATCAAATATCAAATTGAAATTTTGATCTGAAGGAGATTAAGCAAAGCAGGAATGGAAGAAGCAGATTCCCTTGAAGCAGCGGCGGCTGCCCGGCGTGAGAGACTTCAAGCTCTCAGAGCCGCTCAGCAACTTCTCTCTTCTCCAGACCACCAACCAGATGGCCAACCGCCCAATCGCCATTCCCCGACTGCCACCGCTGAAGAGGATGACGACAACGACAACGATAACGAAGAAGATGGACTAGTTCAGGAACAAGAAAAGTAAGATTTTCCTTTGTAATTTCTTGAGTACTAGTATCAGTAATTTGGTGATTAGGGCTTTGTTGGCTGGTCTTATGTGTCAGGGTTTACTTAAGCTTTCCCTGCTAAACAATCCGTTTTTCTTTTTTGTTGGTTTCATTAGAATCAGATTATCAATGCATTCAACATTGTTGATTTTGTCAAAATCTGTTGTCTAAGACCAATTTAATTTCTACCTCTTCCTTTTTGATGTCGTTTACTGTCTAGCCGATGTGTGTCATATGTGGAATCTTGCCTGGAATAATAAAAGTATCCTTATGAGTTTCTTGGATGTTGAATGCTTGCTGACATAGTTGAAACTTTCAATTAATTCTTCATGAGATGAACAATATTGTTTTGTACTATCAGGACAGGTCATCCTACCCATGTTTTAAGCCTCATACTCAAATGAATTTAAGATTACTAGGTCGAGCCATACATGAGATATATTCAGCTAAATAGTACTCCCTCCGTCCCAGAAAAATAGTCCACCACCATTTGTGAATTGTACCGTTTTTAAGAACAATTCACAAACTACAATGTGGACTAATTTTTGTGTAACAGAGGGAGTAGTTTTGAACTTTGGATGATTTGTCTTAATTATTCTTGTACCCTTAGTGTGGTACTTATAACTACCTGCCTTAGTTTAGTTTCATAGGAACCAACATGTGCCGTGACCAATTGTTGTTAATTGCAGTCAGGTAAGCATGAAGTTCCGCAACTACCTCCCTCACGATAAGCAGCTGCAAGAGGGGAAACTTGCTCCTCCTGTGCTTCCGAAGTTTGAAGACCCTCTCACTGCTGCACCCCCTCCTGAAGAGAAGAAAGAGGTGCACTTTTGGTTGCTGCTTCATAAACTGAATTCTATGTTGTACTTGTTTTTCTCCCCATATATGCTAACATTGTCCTTTTGCTTTTGGAAAAACTCAGGACCCATTTCTAAACATTGCTCCTAAAAAACCAAATTGGGATCTGCGGAGGGATGTACAGAAGAAGCTTGACAAATTGGAAAAAAGAACGCAGAAAGCCATGGTTAAACTTATGGGTGCGTCCTCTTGTTCCTTAGCTTGTTGATGTTTTGGCTCTTAATTGTTGAGGTTGACTTGTTTCTCTCAGTTTCTGCTTCGCTTGTGTAATTTTAAAAAATTAATATTATCTGCAGTTAAGTAATGGCAAATTCAATTTTTACCTTAAAGCATTTTCTTGGCACTAGAGATTTATTTTGCCAGTGGGTACTTTTTTGAGTCACTATCTCACCTCGTCTGTAACATAGTAATTGGGTCTTTGCTTATGAGTTATCCTGGCAGTCACTGCGCTCAGTTCAGGCAGATGTCAGTTAACAAATTCGAGAATTCTGTTTTAGATGAAAGGGCATTGACTAAAGTTTTCATATTGTGTCTTGCTTTTGTAATAGAATCTTCTTCGGGAAGAAAGTAAACAAACACAGGCGTAGCATTGAATGTTCTATCCATTCTTGTAACTGGTCAATTTATGCCTTTTCCTCTTACAAGAATCTTTCATGGGGAAAAGAAAGTAAACAAACACAGTTTATTCTGAAGTGTTTTCACAATGCTCTCTTTCTTTCATTCAATATTTAAAACCTTCAAGGTAGAAAAGATTTTATGCATTTCAATAGGTTCGGTATTAAGTATAGTATTTGGTGGGAGTAGTAGTTGCTAACTAGTATACCACATTTGGTGCAGAGCAAGAAGAGAAGAGAAGGTTGGCTGTAGAGGGTGGTGACAGGGAAGAATAGCTAAATCAATGTTGTAATTGGAATACCCCCGGCGGATTTATTAACTTTATTATGTAGGGGAAGGATGACTGCCAAAACTGGCATCCTGGTGAGAAGGGGAATGGATTAGAAACTTGAGGTCTTGTGTGTGAATGTCTTTTGTTGTATCTTTGTAGGAGTGTAAACTTTTTCAAGAGTTTCTTTTCTTTGATAAGCTCTATCAGCCTTAGCAGTTCTTTTATTGGTGTTGAGTTTTGCACTGTTTGCATGTGATTTTGTGCGGCCTGGTGAACTTGAGTGGGGCGCCGTAGGGCTATTAAACGAATCGACGGCTTGAAATCAACTCAAGTTTGATCAAACTTGAGTCAAGTTCGAAATGTCATTTGGTATTCGAATCGAGCTCGAGTACTAAAATTTCATACTCGAGTACTCAATGAGTAGCTCGATTATTTTAATATTATTAAATGTATTAATATAATATATAATTTTATAGAATTATGTTTATAATTAATCATTACTGGTAAAATAATTATTTTTATTTAATTATATAATTATCTAAATTATAATTTTAATTATATTAAATATAATTTAATTTTTATTGAAAAATCTAATTAAAATTAATTTATTTAACTATTTATATGTTTGGACTGATTTTCAGTGTGTGTTTTTAGGTGTTTTTTCTATTGATAATGTAAAACAGTATATTAAAAATATAAAAAATATATGCCGGGATAGAAATTTATTAATAAAAATTGAAAAAACTTGGCAATAAACAAACTAAACAGAATTAATTAACACTTTCAAACACGGTTTGAATTCTATCGAGTCAAATTGAAACAGCTATATCATAAACTTGTCGAGTTCGAGTTTGTGTTTGAATAGGACTGTTTGAGACTGAGTTTGAGTTTCAATATTATTATTTGAACTCGGCTCAACTCGACTGTAATACACCCGTACAAGGATGGGGCTCGACTTGACTGGAATACACCCGTAGAAGGACGGGGCAAAATTGGATTCCAAATGAACTTGGGCCTTTGAGTTGTCCCTGATTTTATATTTGAATTGTTTTTTGTCCCTTTTCACGATCTGAATACAATTTTTGCTCAAACAATTATTTCACAAATAGAAAAATAGAAAAATATTAGTTGTTCATGTAAGATCTATTTAGGTGAGATCAGAAAAGGGGCATATTTTCGAATCCTCTGTTCCATATTAGCCCCTGACTGTGCATCTTTCCTGCAACCCTATTATCTCATATTTTACTAAATCTCCGCCTTCAAAAATTCCTATTGCTTTTGCCTCAGTTAATAGATAGATCACATGCTCCTTCAGACATCTGAAAGATAGCTAACTTCAGTCAAACAAAGCAAAATATCAATCTTTATTGTTTCGGACGTTATAAATTTGCTGCCATCAACCTTCTTCATTGCCTACAATAATACTCATTTCGTCTCATAAAAACAATTCACTTTTTAAAATATGGTACAACTTTTTCATTATGAACAAGATTGCGAAATTATTCGCAATCCACTGCAAATTCCTAGTGAAAAATGTTCCAACACTATTGAAGATTTGTGGTCAACACTCAACATGGAAATCAATTGGTTCACATTTTCTGAGAAAACTGCGTAGCAGCCAACAGAAGTCAAGCTCACAGTTTCATCAAACCTGCAGGCTGCAAACATGATATGATTTAGATACATCCCCACAAATAATTCATGATCTTTCAGTTAAAAATCTGAGAGTTATATTGTAAGTAATACAGAATCTCTTTCAGGACAATTAAAAACACCTAAGCTTTTGGACTTTTTGTATCCAATGAAGAGTAGAGAACAGAGAAAATATCTTGTATAACCATCGTAAAAAATTTGTTAACGTGTATATATAAACCATGAAATTTGAAGTCCTTTAGAATATGAACTGCAGTTTAAAATTTTTACCAGCTGGTAAAACTTAAAAGCACATACAAAAACAATAAGATGGTGTAACACCAAAACCATAAGGATTCTAATTCATTTACCTTGTACTCTTGCAGAGGTTTAGAAAAAAACTTTTTAACCACATAATCCAACTTGTCATGCGATATGACACAGTAGGTATTGAAATCTCCATTGTTGTCCTTTGCCGTCAATAACAAAAAGTAACAGATGCCACTGTCAACCTCTAATTTGCTTGCACGCAATACCTTTTCGAGATAAATTTTATTGACCTACCACAATCACTTTGCTGATTCATTTGACAAGAAAATTCAACAACTACATGCCTTTTCTCTGCTAAGTGGGATCAGTTATATGGATTAAATGTCGCCATTGTACTTGATTAATACTCAATTCATCCCTCAAATTTAAAAATTTCAAGTCAATTTTTATAGCTTCTTTTCAAAATTTTAAGTCTAACACTACTACCACTCTTACTTTGAGTTATCAATTCTATAATTTCTATCCTCCTAACTTTAAGATTCTAGCACATACCTCGAAGTTTCTAACTTAGCATTTATTCCCTCTGCCGTCAAATCTTTTAAAACATTGTAAATTTTCAAGGTCGATAAAAATTATATGCAAATTTTACTTTTCCTCATTAAAATGTTCACATAGTTTTCTTATTACATGTGTAGTTTTCATTGTTGATCTTCTCGGCATAAAGTCAAATTGATTTTTCATTATGTTTGTTTCTTTGCCTTCTAGTTTCTATCATTCTTTCTTACAATTCCATAGTGACACATTAGTTCTATGTAGTTAGCAAAATTGCATAACTCCTTTATGTTTAAACAAAGATAGTAATGTACTTTTCCTCTATTGGTTCGGCATTTTCTTACTTTTCATGATTAGGTTAAATAAATTTGCGAACCATTCAATCTCAAATTTGCCAAGACCCAAGCCTCTATTAGGATAAACATGGGGACAAACGGTTTTACTATTTTTTATTTTTATTTTTTGCTGAGTATATTCTACCTCTTTAATTTGGATTTCTGTATAGGTTATTAAATTTTTATGTTTCTCACTTACTCTAATTCACCCAATAATACTTTTTTTTTAATTCACCCAATAATACTTTCTATTATCTACTTCATTAAATAGTTATATAATTAATCTTTTCACTGATCTTTTATTATTATCTTATTATGATCAACTAAAATATGTCTATTTCATCTTTTATACATTTAGTTTTGGTTAAGCGAGTTGGTTTTTCCCGAATTAGTGTTGTAATTTTATAAATGTCTTTTTCTCCCTCTTTAGTATCTAATTTTTTGTAAAAGTTTTTATCTTTGTTTCACTTACTACTTTTTTAACCTTTTTTAACATTTTCATATTTTCCAGGATCTCAAACAGTAAGAAAAAATGACAATGGGGACATAGGGTTCCTTAGATATATCATAATCTAACATATCGACACTAGATTAGGCATGTTCATTGGGTCGGGTTGTACCCGACCTAGACCGACCCGAACTTATTTGATTAGGCTCGGTCAAAAGAAGTTCGGAACTTTTGGTTATATTTTGACTAAACCAAAATGAGTCCAGCATTGTAAACGGGTGTGTTCGAATGTTCATTTTCACTCCCAACACCCGTTTTCACTCCCATTTTCACTCTCCAAATCCAAATCCAAATCCAGTCACCGGCGACCTCCTCAAATCCAATCGTCGGCGACCTTCTGACACCCGTAATCTTCCTCCCTCAACGCAGATCGGTCACGCATCATTTCCTTTTTTAGATCTAGCCGATTCACCTCTTTGATTCACTCTCCAAATCCAAATCCAAATCCAATTACCAGCGACCTTCCTCAAATCCAATCGTCGGCGACCTTCCGACACCTGTAATCTTCCTCCCTCAACACAGATCGGTCACGCATCATTCCCTTTTTCAGATCTAGCCAATTTACCTCTTCGATTCTTTGAAAATTCAGGTATGCTATCCAATCTTCATCCTTTCTTTCCTCCATTTTCATTCGACCTAAAGATTCTTATTAATAAACAAATAAAGACTCTTATTAATAAACAGTTCTTTTGGTTTAATATTATCTGGACGATGATCATTACTTCCATCCGTGCATGTTTGAAGGTTTTCTGAATGTGGGGTTTTCTGGGTTTTTTGGGGGAGGGTGGGATTCTTTAAAATTCTCTCAAAACAATTTTCGAGTGTGGGGATACAGAGAGAAACACAGTGAGAGTGAATGAATTAAAAGGGGTGGGTGAATTTACAGTAGATATCCTGGTATTTATTAGATGCCTTATTGTTAGTAGAACTTCGTAAACTTCTACTTCTCATGCACACCTCAAGAGTTTACATGTAACTGTGAATACGCTTCTTGTTAGCACCATTTCTAGTTATTAGGATAGTAGGAGTATCAGCCAGTATGAGGCTGGAATAACTGATGATAGATAGTTCTATATCTATGCAGGTGATTGAAAGGTATTCGTCAAGTTGCAACGACATTCCTCCCCTGCCCGCCTTCTGTAATTGCTTTTTTTGAAGTCATAGCAAAAAGTCTTCGTAGAGGTATGTAATTCAGTACTTTCTTTTAATATTTGCATAGTGAGAAGTTTGTCGATGATCTCGATGAATATGAATTGGCTACCTGTTTTTATGTTTATGTAGGTTAAGTATTCTTCGGTATCTTGGTATATTTGTGTCAAATTCAGGTTTTGGTTTGTTTGTTTGATACTTCTCTGTGAAACTCATGTTGTTTGTCAAATTTGGTGGTTATACATTTGTCTTTTCATATTATTCAGATGTCTCAAACAAATCAACCTGAAATTGAAGGTCCCTTTGGTAGTCCTAGAGTTAATCAATCCACAATCTCTGAGGTCAAGAAGCAACGAAAACCTAGGCAAGTGAAAAAGAGGTCTCTTGTTTGGAAACATTTTAGGAGTTATGTTAATAAAGCTGGTGTTAAAAAAAGTGTGTGCATATATTGTAAGAGCAAATACTATTCAGATAGTAA